AAGCCTCTCGGCCCAAGCAACGGAGGGTTGAGGGTCCTTCCACGGATTTGGCCATTCCTTCGGCCATCGTTGCTAAGGACTACCTATCGGAGGAGATCAGGCCGGACCGAATGATGTCGTCTGACCTGTTGTCGACCGGCCCAAGCAACGGAGGGTTGAGGGTCCTTCCACGGATTTGGCCATTCCTTCGGCCATCGTTGCTAAGGACTACCTATCGGAGGAGATCAGGCCGGACCGAATGATGTCGTCTGCCCTGGTGCCGACCAACATAGCAAATATAAAACTTCCTAAAATACGCAACGCCAATCACGGTTTTGACAAGAAAGGTTAAATTAATAGGACATGGCATGACCTATGTTCAGATTGGAAGAATTGATTTTATGTCCTTCTCTGCTGTCTTACCTTCTAATCAATAAGACATTTAACATGTACTTTTTTATTTTTTCATTTGGTGTTTTTTATCCTGACATATTGTTTTAGTTTTTACCTTCATTTGGTGTTTGTGTGCACAGATATACATTTGATTTTGATAAATAAGAATTAAGAAATGCAGGACATCCTATGTATTGCTTGTTGAGAAGATTTTACCTTCACATAACTGTTATGAGATAAGCTCTCTTTCAGCTTTCTGTTGGATGAGAATTACATCTACCTACTGTTTATTTAATTTTTTAAAAAATAAAGATACAAAATGCCTATTTTCTATAGTATATTTAAAGTAAGTTACACAGAACTGTAAGGCAGGGAAACAATTTATTTACAAATAAATTTGAATTTCCTATTTTTTTCTATTCTAATTGACAATTGAGTTAAAAATGTTTCTTAAATTTCTATTTTTATTTTTTTTGTTCTATGAGTATTTATTATTTAATATCTATTTTAATTTAAGCCTATTTTATAGAAATAAGAAAGTTAGCAAAACAATTATCTACTATTAAGTTATTATAATGTTTTTCTTTTTATTTTTTTTTTAATTTTGGATCTAAAGTAATTATTTTTTTATTCATTTTAGTTAAGGCTAATTTCAGCTAATGGTCCAATGTGTGTCACATTAGCAACAACTCGAAAGTAATACGGGGAAGTCAAGGTAGCGTAAAATATCACTTGGCCTTGTGTGCGTATATACTTAATACTTCTAAATCCTTTTATTTTTTCAATAAATTTACACTGTTCCCTTCATAAAAATAAATTGCACTGTTCCTCCATGGTCTTCCCCAATTCACTTGTGCTAGTTTATATCTCCCAAAAATAAATTTATCATGCTGCTATCTAACCGTATTATAACGTTCCATTTATTTTTCAGGGCCACTGCAATGTGTTTGATAAAATGCCTGAAAAAGAATAGGTACCTTTTCTTTCGGTGTTTGATAAAATGCCTGAAAAAGAATAGGTACCTTTTCTTCCAGTCACTGTGCTTTTGTTTTACTTGCTTGGAAGGTGACTCTTAGTTTCGGCATAATGGGTCTTAGACTTTTTGAGCTACTTTACGCTGGAAAACATTTTATTATAACCAACAAGTCTTCAACTTCTTTCCTGAACTCCACATTTTATCACTCTTCGAAAGACGCTCTCAACTTGCAATGGTATCAGGATGAGTTTCCCAAGGTGAAAGAGTTGACCCGTTTGCTAGCAAATGTGGATACAGTTAACGGGAGACTTGTTGATGTAAACAGCAATACAACCGTATTTGATGATGGCATTGAGCGTGAAATGTGTACCTTCAAGTCTCTTGTCCGCGTGTTTGTTGGGTCTCCATTTGTTCAGCACCGGATGAAACATGTTGTGGCCTCTTTCACCACAAGCACACAACATGAATCGTTTACCCCTTTTAGTAAAGCAATTGAAAGAGAGCCTATGGTGGTTGATTCACTGACCAAAGTGGGCAACTTTCTCAATGTCTCTGCTCAACAAAGGAAGATGGTTCGTTTAAGAGTGTGCCCACAGGTTACTCAGCATCGCATATGGACTGGTGCACTAAAAGAAGTTCTGAATGGTTTTGCAGTAGATTTGGATTGTTTGAGTTCTCGGGGCTTAAACAATGGTGCTTTATCCGGTGGCCAAATTGTTCAAAGCTGCTTGAAGTTTCTTACTAAAATTTCTGTCTGTTCGGACCCTGAGTCATCTTCTTGGATGAAGCTTTCTCCTTCTAAAACAGTTGATTCCTATGATCCCCGGAAATGGGAAGATGTTCTTGTAATGTTCAATGATCTGACTGAATGCTGTAGAAGTGAAAATATGTTGAAATTGCATGTGGCTAAGGCTGAGGTCATGAAGGAGGGGCTTTTGCACATTAGGGATGTTTTAGTTGACAACAGTATTGGATATAAGGAAGCTCAACATCAAGAAAGCCTAGTGAAGAAGAAGCTTTCCAAAATGTTGGGTCACTCGTCTCGTTGCTTATTCACTCTATTACTGTATTACCTCTATGGGAGGGTTGCAGATATCAAAGTAGACATGTGCGGTGGGGTCTATGCAAATGGAAGTGATGGCAAGTTTTGCTTGTTTATGGGAAGAATCTTGACTTCAGATAGTGAGAAGATGGTGGGATGTGGTGTGAAGCAGTTGGACCGAGCGCTTGGGATTTTTTAGTTTGTGTGGGAAATGGCTGGAATGAAAGGACATTTAGATTTGCAGGGCCGTATGTGGTGTGTTGGAGCAGACAATAAGATGCTTAGGTATAGAGGAAACACGTATTTCGTGCATGAAATTTTCCTTTGATTAGAGATTGTATCACTTTATCTTTTAATCTTACTCCTTGGTGCTAAAGTGTCACCACTTAGCAGTTGCCAATTGCAACACAAATTCACAATGTCTGTGATAGATAAACGAGATAATATGAAACTGAAAATTGCCTATGGTTTTCAAATTACTATTTATATAATCTTTCTGCTGCCTATGGTTTAGTTTGTATGGTTTTACAATTTCAAATTACCAACATCTTAAAATTGTTTTTTTTTTCTCCTTTTGGAGCTTGGACTTTTGCAACTATAAGTACACACACTTCCAGAAGTTCTAGCTGTGAAAGAAAAAAAACTCCAATTCAAAAACCTCAGGTTTGAAATTGTAAAATTATAAACAAATTGATTTGGCTTCAATAACTTGAAATTCCAAAATTGAAGTAAAAAAAATAAATAAATCATTGTTTGACAGTGCATGACTTCAATTCCTGAAAGGTAATTCTTTTTTTATCGGTATGCAACTTACTAATGTCACAAAGCTAATGATAACTTTCTGTTATTTGCATCAACTAACAACTAACAAGTAGTTAATTTGCCAATGAAGATGATTGTGCAAATCTAGGATGAGAGATACTAGAAAGTAGCAACACACTTACTACTTCTGTTACTTGAGATTCATTGGTGGGTCCCAATCTTTATTGAGTGAGTTTCACTTTCACATCAAATTCAATTAAAATAATTAATAATATGTTTGTACTTTGTAATTTGCTCAATCTGGGGTATTTCCTATTGGTCATTAGCCACTCTCAGATCATTAGTTTGCACTATTGGTCAATGCAAAGAGATGAAGCTTGGGATTTCCTAGGTGATAGAAGTTGGCTACTCTGCGATAGAACTTCATTCTTAAAATGTAACCATGCAATTTTGTTTTAAGGAAAGTTGACTTGCTAGCCATATATATTGGCTTTAACTAGTTCTTCTGATGTTTTGTTGTTTGTCTTCCTTTTGAATATGCATTTTATTTCTCAAAATGGTTAAATTTAAAGACATTTACTCATGACCCTTTGGATTATATTTTCTGATGTGATTGGTATTTACTACATGGATTGTATGTTCCCTTTTTTTTTTTCACATCTCAGTAGTTTTTCTTCTCAAAATATATTCTTCATTAAAATATGAGTCACGCTCATCTTTTGGATTTCACAATTTGTCTCTTAAATTTTATAAGATTTGTATATAAATAGGTATAAAAATACAATTTATTTAAATATTATAAGATATTAATTTTGGTGTCTTCAACTTAATGTCATGTCATCTTTAACATACAAATTTACCTATTAGCAAATAAATATTTAGTAATAAGATCATGATTCCTAATTTTATAAAATTAAAACACTAAAATTACATAATTAAAATTAAATATCATAATTGCAAATTGAATACTATAAGGGATCAAACGTGTGGTTTAATAAAAAATTAATATATTCCATGAGTTTTTTTTTTCTTATTTTTTTTAGTAAGAGAGATTACCACGACAAACAATATAAGATTTATATCTACAACACATCAAACATACTATTCCAACGCCACTACTAGGCTAAAGCTGAACCTAGGTACGTGAGTACATGAAGTGAATATTGTAATTCTCACTCCTACTTCTAATATATGGGTTGGTCCCTCTCTTATATTGGTTATCCATAGCTACCCGAGATTGAATATCCAAGTTAAATCCAAAGATTTTGTTTTTTTTTTTTTTGTTTTGTTTCACAAGGACAATAATCCACAAAAAGCACAAAAGAAAATCTATATGCCAACCAAATTCATAGCAATCATTGCCTAATAATTTTCTACACCACCTTGGGCTTGTGCTCCAGCCTATGAGTTGTGTTCAAATCGATGTGAACAAAGGCTCTCTCAATTTCGGGGAGTTTTTCAAGCTTATCTTGAAGTGTCTCTCCAATGTCGTGTGCTTGATTTAGTGACATTTCTTCTGATACCACAATGTCTACCTCCACAAAGTAATTGGACCCAAATGTGTAGGCTCTCACAGTATCAATGTGCTTTATCTCCTTGTCATGGTTCCAACAAAGATATGTTAGCTTTGCAAGGTATTCTGGTGGGGCTGTTCTCCCAATCAGTGACCATACATTCTCCATCACAGTTTTTGCCCAGTTACTGATTGTATATAAAGCTATCTGCAAGGGTAATTAGTTTCATTAATTTGTGTTATTACTTTGCAATTGCATCATCATAGGCTTAATCTTCTAAAATAATACTACTTTAGTTAAATGGTATTCAGTTTTAAAAAATCACAAAATGACATGCTTTTAGTTTATGGTCAAGGACTAATTACAAATTATTTAAAGAATAAGAATAAAAATTAATAAAATTTTGCATGTCTAGAAAATCAATTGAATGTAATCATATAAAGATGTATATTTCTTTTATAACCATGTAACTAATATAAAGTGTCCTTTAACTTTATTATTAACGAATGTCTATTGAAAAATTTGGTTGGTCAGATTTAATGGGATCCCTCCTTCTAATAACATTTTTCTGGTAATAATGCATTGTTTAAGGAGATTGAATCCAATGTTAGATCAACAACTTATAGATTAATAAGTTGTTGATTTGAGTAGAATTGAACTCAATCTCTTTAATAAATGTCTTAGATTTGAGTATTGTAGATAGTAAAAAAACAAAAAAAAAAAAAAAATGATTGGAGAAAATACCACAAATAACCGGTCAGGTTTTCAGACTAAAATTAGTCATCAATAAATAAGTAGATACTTCATACTAAATAACTTAGTTAAAAAAACATGTAGATTACCTAATTAATTTTAAAAAAAAAATAATAATTAAGGAGATACCAGGATGGCCCCAACAGGGTCAAGCCACCAGTAGAATTTGATGGCTAGTACTGCAGTGGCTAGACCAATTGAGTTTGTGATGACATCAAAGAAATGGTCCTGAGCATAGGCCCTCACTATTTCATTCTTGAACCTGCGACAATAAGTCATAAGCGCAACTTTTACCAATGTGGCTGTCACCATAATCCCTATCATCCACTTTTCTTTCACTGGATCCCTCTCAGGTTGAGCCTGCCAATAAATTATGAAGCACACATCACTGATGTAATTTTGAGAATATTATATAAGTCAATTTGATAAGCAAAACATTTTTTCTTGTGGGGCTGTAAGATATGCTTTCCATTCAAAGTCTTTGAGACTATTTCTTATGCATTTATGCACTCAGCAAATCTGAATTGTTGAATAAAAATTGAATCACTTCAATTTAGAATATATGTTATGTTTTACATCTATACCTTTGTGATGATTTCCCTTCCTGATTCAAATAATATTTGTAATCCCAGAGTTGCCATGACTGATGCGAAGACAACAATACCCTGACAAAATAATTTACACACAGAAGTAAGGTTAAAAAAATGAATTAACTAAATCTTCAACATATTTTAGAAGAATTGGAAAAAAATAATTGTATGCCAAATAATCAAAACATGCCATTTTAGTGAAGTATATTTGTTTTGCACTATTATATAACAGAATAATTTAATGTCCAGTGTGAATAGATATATAAATAGTGAAACTACATTAAGTGCATAGTTTTTTTTAAAAAAAAATTTATTCATTTAAACAAGTTGACAAACATAAGCAATTATTTCTTTGAAAGAAGTTAAATATCCATTCTGTTAGTAATGTATTATGTACCAAAAGAAATGAATATATTGAATATCAAAGCAATATATTTTGCATTTATGAAAATGTTGGGAGACCAAATGAGCTTAAATGAATTTCTTTGTATAAATGAAGAAATTAATCTAATACTCAAAATGTTAATGTCAAATTCAGAGATGAACTGTGTATTAAACCCACATTACACATGACAAATTGGACTTTTCTTAATGAAGCAACCAGACAGAGAAGAGCAGGAAAATTTTTGAATGAATTATAGAGGGACAGCCATGAGGCTGGAAATTCAATTAATCACTCAGTTCCTAAATTCAGTGAGAAATCATAGAATCAAATAAGTGTGTTCTAAAGGAAAGAAGCAGTTACCACAGGTTGCATCCGGTTCTTGCCAATGGGGTATTTATGATGATTCGGTTTGCTCATAGCATAAGCAGTAAACCAAAGTATAAATCCTGACAAGAGATCCAAGAGAGAGTCCAGAGTTGATGCAATAACAGCCAGGGATCTACTCTCAATGGAAGCATACACTTTTGCTACAAATAGCACCATGTTCCCAATGTTAGATGCATAAATTGCCACCTTCTCACTCCTTTCAAGCTCCTTCATCTCATCCTGAGAATGAAAATTTTCCCATTCATAAATGCATAAGGGAGATCATTTTAAACAAAAGTTTAATACTGATACACCGTCAGTTTAAAACTATTTTATAACGTCCATCAATTAAAAATCATTATTACTATGATTTTTCATGTAAAAATTATAAAAGTTAACAAATTTATCATATTGTGATTAGATAACAGTAAAATTGTTTTATACTACTGGTGCATAGCTTATAAACGGGGATTGTAAATGAATAAATTCATAAATTTCAAAACCTCTGTTAAATTTCCAGGTAACATGCCCAAGTCAGTGTATGAGTCCACTTCCTGGTACCCTTTAAGAAGCCTTTCCTGCTTCTTGTAATACTCAGCAAGTTTCCTTTGTCTCTCTGAGAGGTAAAGATGAAAAATTCATTTTAGAAAAATGCAATTTTGCAAAGAGAAAGTTGAAAGGAAAAAACAAAATGTTTTAAAAGGTGGTAAGTGCTATAAGTGGATGTACTTAGTGTCCTTATGAAGAATCCAAAGCCAAAATGAGACTCCATACGCCTTTCTGGCAACCGATGTTCGTCCATGTTGATCCTCCATGATGGTTGCCTAGCCATTGACACATTCTCTACAGCTATTGTTGGGGAAAGAAGCTCGGTTCTGTAGTCAGTGGAATCAGTTCGAAGTTCAGTGCCCATCTTTTCGATGCTTCAATTCTAAGCATTTTTTTGCACTATATATAATAATAACTAGCTGCACAAGGCAAGTGGAGTGGTTGCTATACTAGGTAAATAAGGAATATAATAAGAGAGATGTTAACTATATATTTCTATTTACTTGTTATTTTAATTAATTTTAAATTAATTTATACATAATAATTAATATGTATTTATTATGAAGTAAAAATGAAAAAAGGTATAATAGAAAACATCAAAATCGTTCCATGATAAATAGGAAAATTTATTACATTTCTTAGTTTATATGAAACAATTTTAAGTAATTATTATAAAAGAATAAAAGTAGTATTTTTTTTAACTTTTTTACTAATACTTTCTTCATTATCGGTTAAAAATTACAAATTTTGATAAGTTTTACTACTGAATCATGAAAGACTTATTAAATAAGATGTGAGACTTACACAAAATTTATGATTTTTAATAAATTTTGATTAATAAAAAAAACATTTGAAAAAAGTGTTAGAAGGAATGTTACTCCCATTGCTCGTATAATAAAACTTGATGACCGTGGGAAGAATAATTTAGCCAGAGAATGCATGGACAATGCTTGTTTACTATTATATGGCATGAACCATATCTTTGTCCATCAACTATGTCATGTTTTTTTGAAAAGGCTGACTTTTTGAGTTGATGTAATCTATGTTAATGTGAACGGAATCCACCTTAGGATTATGCCTAGTGTTTAATGTTCACATTTCTAGCTTCCATTTTTTATTTTTGGTTAAGAAAAATTCAACTTTTACTTAAAAACTAAAAAGAACAATCAATTTTGGGCTTGTTCCTGGCACAACTAGTCCTTCCTCCTAGTTTCCAGGAAGCACCCCAAACTCAGTTAATTAATTAGATTAAAATCTGGAATTAATTTATATTACTTAGAATAAATTATACAAATAAGATCAACACCATATCATAACTCAAAATTCTAAAATATTAAATAAATGAATCTTTTTTATTTATATACTACTCAACATATTCAATTCTAATTAATGTAAGATTCATTTTATACTTAAATTCCGACACTTCATTCGCTTTGTTTTAAAAAAATGTTTCCTATAATGAAATGAACTAAATACATTATAACATAAAATAATTTAGCTACTCTAACCAATGGTTACATTTAAAAAAATAAAATGCGTTATAACCGTTGATTGATGGTGTAAACAAAACTGTTGACTCAAAAATTAAAATCTCCACTAATATAAAAATACATGTACGTACATGTATTATAAACTATAAAACTGTCACATATAAATTGTTGACTTTTTAGGGAAATGTTATAAATCAACATTTATTCTAGCTAAATCAGAAAAGCATCAAGGTAAGATGATTTCATGTTGGGGTGTCTGTAGAAAGAGAAAATGGGACCTATTACGAGGCTGGGAAGGAACATGTTTCCAATTTCAAATGAATAGTTAATTGTTCCCTTAATTTCTGAGGGACATGATTTTTGTTTTGGATGTTCTGCATCTGAACAGAGCTTAGATTCTAAAACTAGAGAAGGTAATGCTCAAGAGGCCAAGGCCTTATTAGAATGTAAGTTAACCCCTATTTAGCTAAGTTAACCCTGTTTCATGGCCATTTATTTTACTTACTTTATATCATTAATTAACTGACTTCATGGATTCAAGCTTTTAGATCCTTGCTTCCTCTAAAACCAATGTTATATGTTTTATAAACATCAGATAAATTCTTCATTATCTCTATAGAATTATCTGTAAAATTGTGATTTCGATCAGTTTGATTTTGTGGTGTTTGTTGTTTATTAACCACTTAATTTGCAGTGTTTTAGCCTGCATATTTAGCTTGTAGTGGATCTTACATTGTTCATCTAGAAGCTTTCACATTTGTAACTAAAATAAATGAATGGATCTTAGCAAGGACTAATAGTAATGATATACTTTTTATATTGTATTACTTGTGAAACATTATCAAAATCATTTTATCATGGACTTGTAGTTGTCGTATAAAATGTACTAGAATGATGAAGATACTTAAATAGTAAAATGGGTGTGAATAGTAACTTCCAATTAAACACAGGCTGCAGAAATTGTTGGCCCAAAACCGTGTGTTCAAGCCCAAGTCCAAATAATGCACATAGGAAAAGGACCTTGGGTAAACTTGGGTGGTAGCATGTGTAAGTAACCACCCATTAGGAACTATTACAAAAATTCAGCCCAATGAAATAATTCGTTAAAAGTGTTGTAAACCTTTGCAAATAATATTTAAATATGTAAAATACACTAGAGTAATGAGAATAAATTTGAGAAAAACTGGTAGTATTTTTATTAAATCTAAAATTTATTAATAATCAGGGAAATTCCATTTTAAAATTGGAAAGTTGTTATAAATAAAAATCAAAAAAGAAAAACGATTTAAGTTTTCCCTTAGTTAAAATTCTAAGATCTTTCTTCATAATAAAATTCTAAAGTCCGACTTCTAAATTTCAAAATTGCTCGGGAGGGAACTGTTTATTCAACCTTGGCCGAGATGGTACTCGGGAGGGAATTATTTATTCAACCTTGGCCGAACGAGGGTGCTCGGGAGGGAACTGTTTATTCAACCATGGCCGAG